CGAATTGACGTAAACGTACCTCAAGTGCAGGGACGAAACAACGCCAGTTGAACCACAGGTCGCGTTGTAAACGAGGCTCACTACCCCCGCCTGCAATATGGCTGCGTCAGGCGGTCATTAAATTCGACTGAATAGCGCATCGTACCCTCGCACCCTTGATGTCGTACGTTGGAACTTCTACGACCTCCAGAAAGGTCAGGTCACGGCTGGCACAGGGCACATTGCCTGCTAAAAGCCAGTCCTTGTATGCATCCCGCGAGAGCGCCTCGCCATTCAGCGTGATGTTCGCGGCTGGGGCGACGAGGCGGTCGAATGCTGCGTTGAAAGCGACCGCACCCATCGCGAGGAGGACGGAGGTGAGGTGTTCCTGCGCCCAGCGGCCGATGCTAGGGAGGGCGATTTCTGAGAACATGGGGGCGGAAGTGCAGATGGGTGTGGGGGCTGGTGGGGTGTTTTGTGGTGATGCACGGAAGCGATCGGTTCCGGGGGTGCCGCCTTGAGACTCGAACTAAGGTTGAGCTTACTATATGCGCCCTAGATTGTCTGTCAAGAGAGGAGTTGGGCGGGACCGATTATGTGCGGAGTTTCTGTATTGAGCTTTACACGACGTGGCAGAATGACTGTGGGCTCGAAAGCCGAAGGAGCCGACGTAAATGGCCGCAGATTCGTCGCGGAAGGCGGGGGATGAGACAAGCCGGAAGTCTGAGAGTTTGTTTTACATTAATATTGCTCCAGGATTAAGATCGCTGAAGAGCGCCCAATTATTGCAATATCCTTGTCAACTTGATGATTGCGCTAGATTCAACGTTCCGTCTTGATCGTTCGGCAATCACGGCAGATGGAATGATGCGCCTTTTGATGCGCCTTTCTTTGGCACCTTTCTTTGGCACGGCCTTCAAATTCAGAACGAATCCCATTCTCTGCCTAAAGCCCAAAGCTCGACTCATAATTTGAATCAAAAGCCCCGCACACTCCTCGCGGTGGATCACCCTAGATGCCAGGCGCAGATACAGGTCCGACGGGCCGAGAACGAAGTTAAGATGTCCGCAGTCGCTGTGAAGAGATGCATGGCGCGTCGGGGGGTGGGGTGCATTCCAGGGCGCATACCGATGGGCGATGATATTCTCGTACCCGAACTGTATACCCTGCGCACAGTCGGCGGTGGCCTCGTTCCATTCGAGTTGCGAGGAACTTATTTCAAAATATTTGACGAAAGCAAGCAGGCACCTCCGCAACCGACTCGAAAATTGGCCTGTCGAAGTTAATCGGCCGGGGCATCACGAGGATCTGCGTGTCGGTGGTCCCCGGTTCCTGCAGCACATCCAATAACGAGATAGCGTGGGTTCCGGGGTCGGCTGCAAGCGGTGGTCCCCCCAGAAATGTCGGGATCTCGACGTCAAGCTAAGGCTCACACGGGTGCATCGTTTTCAATTTCGATATGCACTTCAGCATGACGTGCGCGCCGTCCGAAATACACGGCGTCCGCGATGTTGTCTCTAGCTTTGATCAGGATTAATACATGCATAGTGGCTTGAATCTTGATCATACAGGGTGTGTATCGTCGTGAGCTCGTCCCCAGATACAAGGGTAGACTGTGCCGCAGAAAAACCAGGATAAACGTTGGACGCAGGCTGAGGCTACCCGGCCGAGTGCAGGAAAGGGCAGCGGTAGCACCAGTACAGCTCAGACTCATCGATGAATACAGGCATTCGTGAACAGGAGGGGTGGATTGTGCGGATGTGCCTCGTGGAGTAGTTGCTTGATTTATTCAAGGTGCTGACGATTTCGACTTCAGACATCCGACCAGGCCGCGGTGACGCTGGGATGGGGCCCGAGGTTCGTTGGGGCTGCTGAAGACGTCCGCGCATTGTGGGATCCGCAGGGAGCCTGCTATTTATTTCCTCGGAGCCAGAGATGGCCAAATTGACCGGCGGCGTCCTTTGAATCGGTGACCACAGCAGATGTTCAGCAGTCGGCCGAAAATGAGATCGAGTCCGAGTCTCCAATCGATGATTGTTCGAATTGGTTCGACTTGGCCGCGGATCGACGGAAATCCTGAGGGCGGGAAGTAATGTAATGTAGATTCTATATCGGCTTACGAGTACCGAAATATTCCCGGCGCGATCGATTTGATGCGAGGGCCAAAAAATCAGCGGGGATCGTTCAGATTCAGCGCCGAGCAAAATAATGTTCGCTTCACATGAGGATCCAGGGGGAAGCTTGAGGTTTTGATTGAGGTCCCAGGCTTGAGAGCTTGAGAGAAGACTGGGAGAGTGAGAATTTGTATGCTGCTTAGCGTGCCGGCGAGAGCGCGATGCGAGGCTACGATTTGGAGCGTTGGGGGCGCCCTAGTCTCGCTCGGAAATCGCCAGAGGTTTCGGGTCGTTTGTTGGAGGCCTCGGGTGGTGTGGCGAGGACCCGGCAGGATCAATGGCAGGCAAATGGCAGGAGAAAACACAGTTGAAGTTGAAACACACACCGACGCATCATATACATCTCCATCCGGCCTCATCTTTTTCGTCCTCGCCGCCATGCGGCCCGGGCCGTCTTCTCTCACTCGCGCCCGACTGTCGCTACTCGTTCCCTCATCCCGGGGCGCATTTTTGGACATCTTTTGTTGATATCTCATCCTTTGGTTAGCGCGTTTCGCACCTATTCGTTCGTCTCGATCCCTGGGGCCTTTGAGGAGCCTTTGTCTTTTCTCCCCCACCGCTGCCGTGTGACAATGCGTGTGTGGTCAGATGTGAGGACCGGCTGCTCTTGTTAGGCTGCCCGGCTGCTGTTGTTGAGCTGCCTCAGCTCCTCCCGCTGCGTCTGCGGGCTCAAGCTCAGAGTCTGAGTCTCATCTTGAAGGGCGCGACGTGGCCAATCCAGGATGTCAGTCCAGGGTTTCGCTGATAGACATCGGGTGGACCAGGAGCAATTATGACAATGACGACAAGAGAGCGCGCGCAACTTTGAACGCCGGCGCTGATAGATCCGCCTTCGAAGCGCCGGCATGGTTGAGGTGTTGGCATCCCGGTGGAGAAAAATCGGCCTCACAAAGTCATTGACTTCGGAGCGTCGCTGGAATGCCACCTAATGCCACCTTATCTGACTGTGTTTTGTGGGCGACTTGGTTAACATCAGGCGCCCGGGGAATTTTTTCGCCGGTACACCGAGCGCCTACTATAAGAGCCTAGCCGGAACAGTGGCCATGGCAAGTGGTTTCACCTTCCCAATCGGGTAACTGACCCCTGCCACAGATAAAGTGGGACTACCTCCTGTCGCTCCTTGCCAGATGCCCGCTCGACGATGCCCCTACACACCGAGGATGCCCCCGAGCCCGCCCCGTCGGGCCTGCGCGCGCAGCTGCACCACCTCCTCCCACGGCACGCCCTCTTCCATGTCCGCATCACCATCCACCAGCTTGCGAGCGTGCCCCTCGTGCACGGTGAGTTTGGCGTGAGGTGGCGCTTCAAGAACACGCACAAGGTCCGGGGGAAGGGCAAGGGCAAGGCCCCCGAGCACGATGACCACGACGCGGACGGCGACAGCTTCGGCAGCGCGGACGCGAGCGCCGAGGACCCACACTCGCTCGGCGTGCCGCCGCACGGCAGGGATGCGTCGGGCTCGGGTGTGTTCAGCACGAGCGGCGACGACGCCGAGGGCAGCTCCGCGGCGCGCGGGCAGACACCGTGGCTTCCCCTCCGCGACCACGCCGTCTCGTGGGACCACCCGCTCTCCGCCGTCGTCCAGATGTCCATCGACCGCGACACGCACCGCCTCCTCCCGCACCCCTTCAAGCTCGCCGTCCTCCAGCGCGTCATCGCCCGCGACCCCGACGCCCCCCAAAACCCACAGCTCGGCGTCCTCGAGCTCGACCTCGCCGAGTACGCCGACTCCTTCCCGCTCCCGCCCGCGACCCCGAGCAAGGACACGGTCACGCGCCGCTACCTCCTGCGCGACAGCAAGACCAACGCGACGCTGCGCCTCTCCGTGCGCGTCGAGCCCTGCGCCCCCGAGCCCCCGCACTTCACCGCCCCGCCGCTCCCCAACGGCGAGATTCTCGCGGGCGTCGCGACGCTGCTCTCCACCCAGGCGGACGTCTACCGCACGCGCCCGCGCGCGCTCGACCTCTACGCCCCCGCGCCGTTCGACGTCCGCGCGCTCCCGCGCGCATACGGCCCACGCCCGACCGCGTCGCTCATCGACGCGCTGTTCAACCCCGCGCCCGTGCGCGAGGCAAGCCTCGTCGGCCCGTTCACGCGCCTCGTGCGCGCCGAGTCCGCGTCCGTCTCCGAGTCGGCCTCGACCTCGTCTGCAGCGTCGCTCCGCAGCGTCGCGGCCAGCACGACGAACTCGTCGATCGGGCCGAGCAGGGCAGATTCGTCCTTTGCGGGCTCGCCTGTTGTGCCGAGCACGACGCACTCCCTCGCACCGAGCGCGACGCACTCGTCTCTCGCGCCCAGCACCGAGGGCCGCGCACCCCACCACTGGTGGACCCGCGGTAATCGGGACCGCAGCAGGAGCAGGAGTCGGGCGGCGGCGCCGGTCGCGGTCGCGGTCGCGTAGCTGCATGCCGTCCTTGCTCTGCCTGCTTTCGTCGCTCGTCCTTCTTCCTTCTGCCTAGACCTCCTCTCCTACCCCTCCCCTATCCCTTTATCCTACGTACCTCTCTCCTCTCCCCTCTCCCTTCTCCTCCCGTACCTCCATCCCTCTCGACTCAACGCTACTCTACCCAGTACAGCCCCGTACTCATCATCCATCACTCACGGATCCGGATTCCCTTGCATTGGCAACTCTACCGCTGTAATTATTCATGTACCTCTGTATCTCCTGTTTCTGCTCTGTTTCTGTTTCCGTTCTGTGTACTCTAGTATACTAGGGGGGGGTGAATCTAGATTTATTTCGGGTCCAGACGTCCGCTCGAGGCAAAGAATGACCGAGAATGGTAGGACAGAAACGCGGTAATACGATAACAAAGGAGCAAGAAGCAAAAGTACACGGACATGTTCACATGCATCAGCCGGGAGTCGAACCCGGAGCTAGGCCATTTCTGATTAAGTAATCCTGGGAAGACCCAATGTTACCGCTACACCACTGATGCGATGCGACTAATCGCAGCTCTGGCATTTAGAAGTGACATATGCTGTGAAAGTCTCTAGGTGTGGAACAAAAGCGGTATATCGGTGATTGCCGAACGATGAAATTCAACTTGAACCGAACGGACTGGTTTTGCCTCGGCGCACTCATATCAAGCTGGCAAGAGTATTGTAATGTTTCGTCCGAATGGGCGCTCTTCAGCGATCGTAGTCCTGGGGCAGTAGTAATGTAAAACAAACTCTCAGACTTCCGGCTTGTCTCATCCCCCGCCTTCCGCGACGAATCTGCGACCATTTACGTCCGCTCCTTCGGCTTTCGAGCCTACGGTCATTCTGCCACGTCGTGTAAAGCTCAATACAGAAACTCCGCACATAATCAGCTCCGCCCAACTCCTCTCTTGACAGACAATCTAGGGCGCATATAGTAAGCCCAACCTTAGTTCGAGTCTCAAGGCGGCACCCCCGTAATCGATCGCTTCTGTGCATCACCATAGAACACCCCACCAGTCCCCACACCCATCTTCACTTCCGCCCCCATGTTCTCAGAAATCACCCTCCCCAGCATCGGCCGCTGGGCGCAGCAACACCTCGCCTCCGTCCTCCTCGCGATGGGTGCGGTCGCCTTCGACGCAGCGTTCGACCGCCTTGTCGCCCCAGCCGCGAACATCACGCTGAATGGCGAGGCGCTCTCGCGGGATGCATACAAGGACTGGCTTTTAGCAGGCAATGTGCCCTGTGCCAGCCGCGACCTGGCCTTTCTGGAGGTCGTAGAAGTTCCAACGTACGACATCAAGGGTGCGAGGGTACGATGCGCTATTCAGTCGAATTCAATGACCGCCTGGCGCAGCCATATTGCAGGCGGGGGTCGTGAGCCTCGTTTACAACGCGACCTGCGGTTCAACTGGCGTTGTTTCGTCCCTGCACTTGAGGTACGTTTACGTCAATTCGAGGTTGAAATTTACGCCATCCTCACCCGCTCAAAGTATCAACCGCGTTGACGACCTGTGCCCCACGCCTGTGGGGCATATTCACGGGGATTGCGGTCCGTGAAGCCTTGCACTACGATGTTGGGCGAATTTATTGACATGTTTTGTGCAGATTCGAGGAGAGTGGTGGATGTAAATCACATCATCAGCAATATCCCTCGGACCGTCGAACGCTTTTCTGGACGCTTGAGCTAAAGGGTGCGCTGCACAGGAGATGAGTTGATAGTTGGTGAGAGATGGGGAAAACAAGCAATTGCTCGGATGCAACTCCTGTCTATAGGTATGAGCAACGGAATTACTCTGCCCGCTCCCACTCAGGCTCGAGTTTGAGTATAACATTGAAATAAATATTCCGTTATCGAGGAATCGATGCCCTTTGAGGTAGATTAACTGAAAGGGACCTTCAAGGATTGACCGCGTTTATAAGAACGTCTCGGGAAGAATGCGGACATCAAGTCCCTTGCATCGCAAATGCCAAGAATTCCTGGTTGAAAACTGCAGGGTTAAGAGTCAGTCAAGACAAGTGACACCAGCCTCTTTGTTCTGGAGCGGAACTGATCATGTCAAAGAATGCACCGTAATCTCGGAACCTAGCCTCTAGCCTCTGAGGGCGTAAGCCCGGGAGACAGGTCCGAGGTGTCGCCTTTTACCTTCAGGGCGCTTACATTGTAATCTTCACCACATCGTCGGTGTGATCGCCTCTATCCCTGTACCTCGTGTACGGTGGCGCAGAACCTGATCGACAGTAATCCGAACGCATCCAGTTCATTGCAACAGCCATTATGTTTCATGGTGCTCCATCGCTACCGACTGGGAAATACACGAATTCAGACAGCAAGGCTCAGAACGGTCCGTCAGTGGCGCCAGATGGCGGGATTCGAGTTGATAAACGCCATTTGCTCTGTTACAAGGGATCAGCACGTTCAGACTGTGGGTTTCGTTGAAATCGGTACCTGCGCGGAAATTATCGGGTATCATGGTGAGATTTGCGCTGTTGAGTTGTATCACGGCCTACCCAGAAATATAGGTCAGTGCCCGAATTTGTGGGATGGGTTGGTGCCAACCTTATTGTTTGGCGTGAACTGCGTCCATTCGGGACCTATATGGGCGCCTGTCAATACTCATGCGACTCGGAGGTGATGTGGAATGTTACGTGGAACTCCTAGGCCGTCGTTGGGTGTGAGGCTCGTCGCGAAAGAAACCCAATAATCGGTCATCACGCGATTGACCATGAGTTCAGAAGCAGAAGCGTTGCTGGGGACCCCATAAACGAAGGGTATCTCGGAAGCGTGGGCAACTAGGCCAGAGCATGTCAGATAAGATGACAGGCGGAATTGGGAAAGACGAACCGCCTTGTTCAGGTGGTGAGCCGGGTTGTGGTTGGGTGAACAAGTACCCGAACGTCGGGACACCTGCCTCTGCGGCTGTTTCAATCCACAGTCGGCGTTGCGAGCCGAAATTCAGGTCTCCGACTGTCCAGAATGAGCATGGTGCTCATAAACATATATGAAGCCGCTAACAGATTGCTGACGCGCGTTTATATTGGCTGCTCAGCCCGAAGGTATTGTTTCCAGTGTTGAAAGGCGAGCCTGGAATGTTGCGTTATAATTCTGCGACCAGGTCGATGCGACGCACTGACCTAGCGCCGGGATATCGGGATATAGCCGTAATAAAGTTTGGACAGAGCTGTTCAGAGTCGTTGGCGCCACGGAGGGAGAAAACATGGCGAAAGTCGACTCGATGATTTCGTCACTGGAATTTGTGGCTTCAGAGGTGAAGCTCGTGCCTGGGAAATATATTAGAACCGTCCGAACAAGATGTTTGCCTTGCACCTTCATCTAGATTTGTTCCGGCTATAAATGGCAATCGGGCAAATTGTCCGCGTTTAAACAGAACGGAAGGTAAGTCAGGGATCAGCCCCCCTGGGCCATCGAGGACCGGAGCCCATGGAATCAACTCATTTGCTTCCGCCAAAGCTGCCGAAAGCCCTTCGAATATTTCAGATGTGTTTGCGCTGCGGAGGCACCCGAACGTGGACCCAGAAGTTGCTTTGGACGCGCATGATGCAACGCCACTCACGAAGTTCTGCCAATCGATCTCGCGGCGCTCGGGTGTGAACAAGGCGGCGGTAGCCTGAGATCCAGACTCAAAGATCTATATGAATCACGTTGGTGAGGGAATGTGGCAACAAGCAAGTTTCAGCGCACGGCTGCTCTGGCCAAAGACTTGATGGGCGAGTTCAAAAATAGGAGAGAGGTCATTATCGCTCCCGCACTTTCGCCAAACACGGTGACCTGTTTCACTGAGTTTATAGAAACGAAACCCAGAAGGACCAGATACCTTGTCCTTGTCGCCGCCGAAGGTTCCGATGTTCAACTGGACCCATTGGAGGGCGGCGAGCTGATCTTTGAGACCCAAGTTCAGGGCGCCTCTGTTGTCAGCCTCCTGTCCTTGTGGGAAACCCAATGGCCCCAGACGGTAGTTGAAATTAACGTATATCACCGGCGTTCCCTTGGACCGGATAAGTTTATACATGACGGTTTGGGCAGATCAACGTACACGAGCAACACTTTGGGCGACGATTCCGCTTCCATTATCGTTCATTGATCGACCTATGAGGAATCCACCGCCGTATCTAGTGAGAGCTTAGCGAGTTGAACAGTAAAGAGCAAAATATAATCACGTCCAGAACATCTTGGGACACGTCGTTAGATGGCGAGCTAACTAATCAATTTTTTACTGACCACTGGCAGTTTCGCGTGAGCGGGGGTTCCCGTAGGCCGAAACACGTTTATAGTCAAACAGTCTTCCGACATTGCACTGAGCGGAAGTTCCTGGCGTGTTTAATGGGATTAGGGGAAGTGAAGTGAGGGTTTTAGGTGTCGCACCGTCTGCAGGCATGCAGGTCCAAAGCTGGTGGCATTGAATGTGCCTGGTTCGAGGAGTGACTTCAGCACAGGGGCCTGTAGACGTAAATTTCCGAGAGGCGGTTCCGCGAAGGGAATGCCTTGAGCAGATGCTGAGCCGGATTCAAGTAGTACAACGTTGTGACTAACCTCCGAAAAAATCTTGCTGGAGGGGACTATTATCGAGGCCGACGAGGGTCGTGCGCCCTAGCTGGACTGTGGATGATGCATTAATGCAGACGAATCGCGCCATGGAGGCTAGAAGGGCGAGTGGCACAAACATGAGGATCCGAAATTTCATCCTGTCCGCCCATCCCTTAAATACCACGCATCCGTGTTCTCACCGGTTCTCACCTAAGACCGCACGTCCGACAGATAAGCGCCTTAAATTTGGTAAAAGGAGCTGTTACAAAGCTAAACGATCTCCGCGCAGCGTGAAAGATAGCTATCGCTGAAACACAGCCTCGGCAAGATTCACGACTCAACCCCATCGCTTGCCTATTTTCTTAGTATGCCGCGATTTTCCGCTGCTTTCGCAATTTAATTCGGTCTTCATGGGATTCCAATAACATCATCTTCTCTCGCGCGTGATACGCAGTCTCGCTTCAGTAAACAGAGCTTCTTATGCTGCGGCCACGTACCCGTTTCCGCAGCGGCTTCGTTCAGTATCTATTGGTTCATACTCAATTAGCCTTGTCTGCCCATTCCCTGACCGTTTTGCATAAAACTTTGGAGAGAGATATGAATTTAAATGCATTTAAAGATGTTCTGCCTACTCCAAATCCCAATAAGGTGGAGAGCGTGGGAAGCCCGCACCTTTACATAAGCCATTTTGTAACACCCTTATAACTATACAACCGATGTTCAAAAAAATATCATAGATCCTAGGAAATATGCCTATTAACAATGTTAACACTTCCTAAGAAGCATAATCTTCAAAAAGGATACCAGTCCAAAGTTATAAGCACTTATTTCCTTTTTTGGACAAAATATTTCTACAACACTTTCCATTCATTTGGCGCGATTTCGGTCAACCGGAATGGAAGATTTGGACCGATTATATAATCAATCACGTGACCGGTCCGGCTGTTCCGTTGCCTCATGGAGGCCTCA